CGGAGGTTTTACCATTAACTTTCCCTGAAGTGGAGGAAACATTGATAATTCATGGAGAATCACATAATCTGTGGGAGTGAACGAGGGCTTCCACCAATCCATTCTCTTGGCACCACACTAGTTTATTTCAGGCGTTCTTCAGATAACTCCTGTTCGAGTCATTACTCCCCATAGTTGATTTGCACCGTAAGGCACCAACAGGAAGAAAGCTCCAAACCAGCGAAGAAGGAATGTTTTGAACTGAAATACCTTGCCAGTCTTAGCCCCCCTTGAGAAGTCTACGGGTATAACAAAACCAAAGCCATGGTTCCCAACTATCAAGGCCCCTCTGCTAATCTCTAGATGTGGGCACCAGTGAAATGCCATTAGAATCCAACAGCTTACATATAACAAATCCAATACCATTGTAGACTCCTGAAACAACCACAAGTTACAAATTCCTTGTTAATTTTGACTAATTTTATGCTATGTGATGCAATTCTTTATGGTTAGAGAAAATGGGACATTGAAGCTGAGTGGGAAGTCAATGTATTGATGACGAAGCTGTCTTACATGAGGTTAAAAAAGGTGAAGAAGATGACTAGAAGTTCTTAGCGAGGCGTCTTTCTTGAATATCAGAGTTTTTTTGCTAGACGTGCAAACTCAAATATGGTGGCTGCCTTCCTGTTGCCTTTTGCTCTGCAAGCCGACGGTTTTTGGCCTCAGGGGATTACTATTTTGGCTGTTTGATATCGACCCAAGTAAATTCCTGACGAGCCTAAAATTCCTTGTCTCTTTCAGGAGCCTAGAATTCTGAGATGGAAGGCCTTTCCGAAGTTTCCAGGAGTTCTCCTGCAAGTGACTCGAGACTGCAGCAAAATTTCAGAGAAGGCCATGTTCTGGTTTTAAAGTCCTTTCTAATTTTGTCTTTCCTCGCTTTGTAGTTCTCGTGCAAGACCCTTCAGCAGCTTTAAATCTTAAGCCACGATATAGTTTCCTCAAAAATAATAATCTGATGTGTTATTTTTTATTCAGATTATTGAATTACATTTTTTTCATAGAAAGAACCGTAGTATTTATACGCACTGTAATGTTGCATCATGAAAACAAGAATAAAGAACGGATCATAATTCTTAATAAAATAAATTATTGAGAAGTTTTATTAGCTATATAAACATGAACATTGTAGCTGACCATGTACGCCTGCTCTACTTATTATGATCTTGCAGAAGCCTCGACTTATTATGATCTTGCATAAGCCTGAAGCATTCATAGCTTGGAGGTTGCGAGCTTCATAAGATCCTTTCGGAGAATCTTGCAAGACGGCTTCTTGGGTATTGCAGCAATAAATGCAACTCTACGAATTCTTTTGCATGGAGCCACCTGGAAATAGCAGCTTCGTAATTTGAGAACAGAAGGAGCTGATTTGCACAAAATCATTTGATAAAAATAATCAGTTACAACCAATTGACCCCAAAATTAATATGTATTGTGATTAGAGCATATTACGAGTGATTATTTTCAGTTTTTTTTTTAAATTTTTATTTTAAAAAATAATCAAATTAAATTTTTTTTAAAATAAAATTAATTCAAACTGATCAATTTTAATTTAGTTTGATTCAATTATTTTACATCAAAAATCTAAACCCAACCGATTACCTTTTTTTTAAAGGTCAGTTTGATTTTTTTAAATATTTTAATTAATTTTCTCAGTTTATTAATTCTAAAAACTATTTTTATATGATTGGAAAAATCAACATTACGCACCATATACCACAGTGAAAAGCACACAGTTGATCATTGCAGCTACAGAAGATGGAAGAAAAAATAACCATAGTATTTCGGTTTAAGCTACAAAAAAATTTCAAATTTATTTACCTTCATCTCATAGAAAAATAAATGAAAAACATATATAATTTAGATAAGAAACTAATTTTTCCAGGCTTAAAAAATAAATCACGATTTCCATTATGATTGCATTAGGTTTGCTAAGGCAACAACACAAGAAGATAAACGAGGAAAAAGAGCATACACGAAGACATTTCAGTCTCCATGCTCACTGCTGGTAAAATTCCCAATCTCATAAAAGCATATAAATAGGAGTCGAGGTTAAACAATTACATGTGATAAATGGATATCTCTCCATTACGTCTTAATTGTTCATAAAATAATACATTCAATTGGGAATTTATATTTTGCGCTTATTCTCATGGATAAAATACAAATGTGACACAGAGTTGAAACAAAATAATAGCCACGAGCTCAGGATAAGAAAAGGGCTTTACACTGCTTTACCGTATCATCCGGGCTGGTAACTGCAGATAAAATAGCCATAAAATCGAAACCATTCAATACAGCTGCATTAACGTTTAAGCATACTTTAATAAAAATGGGAAATAAGACCATCCATTTAGATTAATTGAATATGGAATGAGTTTTTTGCTTCACATGGCATTTGCATGTATCATAGTGACTTTGTATACGACAAAAAATGCAGCTAAATGTTATTGTTTGAATGCAGTAATGACAGCTGAAGCGTACAGGATTCCCCGGCCCCGACCCCCCCAGACTTCACAATGTTACAGGTGAAGCCCAACTTTAGAGACCATTCTTTAATTCCCTACTCTCCCACGTGAATAAAAAAAACTATAACTCGTTTAGTTAACTACTATTTTAAGCTGTTTTGATTTTATTTATTCTGATGCTACATCATATTGAAAATGAAACCTTGAGATGCCAGTAAATAGGTTGAAGATGAAATCTTTTTCTGACCTGTGTGACCCACAGTTCGTTCTGATTCATATATCTCATGATCGTTTCCCCCCTGCTCAAATAAAAAATCTAATAAATCCAGGAATTCAATGATAAAGAATAATTATAGAATGCTACAATTAGAATCGCATCTCCAATTGCATATGGACATTAGAATGCCAGTGAAACAGTGAAAGCAACACAAGATATATGCAGGAGTGTGGACCAAGCCTGAATTTTCTGAGGTTAGTTTAAATTATAGAGAACAAGTATATTCTGTGGGAAATCACGAATATCTTCTGCTTTGAGGATATAACTAGATACAAAGAGTGAAAATCCATTGCTTTCCAAATCAATGCAACTCTTCCCGTACAATCCTCAGAAATTGTCATAATCAGTCCAGAATAACTCAAGACTAGCCCTTCAGCTTACAAATAGCAACAAGTCCAGACAGTTGCAACTCTAAACTATCAGACAATTATCCGTTAGATAATGAAACTCAGACTCTTTACACCAATTATTTGGTTATTCTTTGAGGTTGTCCTCTCAGTTGATGTTTCTCTTAACAAAATGACTAACATTAGCACCACAAATCCAATGAGCAATTCATAATTAGGGGGCCCTACAGTAGCAGGAATGATGCCCATCAACAAGTTATGTTTGAAACACAACATAATCTATAAAATATGATGTCCCAGCCAAAGGAAGGTTACTTTGAAGAAAACAAACACATTATTAGAGACTACAAATAATGTAAGCGTTGTTGGATTTTCATTAGTTAAAAGCACGAAGCAAGAAATGCCCAGCAGGGATGAGAAATATAATAAGAGGATAACTAACCTTGTAAGTTTTGTCACCAAAGAAGTGAATTTCACTGAACTCCTCAAGGAATCTCAAACAGTATGTCTTGTCCCAGCCTTGAGGGAAAACCTGTAACAAGTATCTCGCACGAATAATGAATATGATGCCAATCTTCCAAACCCGCCTTCTGATTGTTGCATTCAAGAATCATCATAAGCTAGTTAACATGGCACTTACGTCAAAGCTTATCTGTCCCCCTATTGAGAATGTGAGGTTAAGGTGAGCGAACTTTTCACGCAGCACAGATACCATTTTTGGGCGTATGTTATTAACCTGAGGACTCAATTTGTTCAGTATTTCAGCATTAACATCAACTATACAAAGAGTCCAGAATATGAACCCAATAGCTTCCAATAATATTTGTTTTGTTCAAATTCTAACCCAAGTCTTTTCTTACCTTGTCATACTTTTCAAATTCATCTCTTTCTTCTTGGCTGCAGTTCCGTCCAATTGGTGACACATTAAGCATCCCACTTCGTAACTCTATAAATGTTCCCCTTTAGAAATCATTGGAAAACTTGTATAAAAAAGAAGTCATTGGAAAACAGAAAGGTCTTATTGAGCATCTTCGCAATAATCAGCTGGATGAGCTTTTAAAAAAATTGGCTTTCAAGCTCTGAATTCACTCACCTTTTTATGGGGATATCCAAGTCAGCAATATAATGAAGTGTGAAGTTTATAAATTCCTGCAGATTCATTAAAAATCTATTAGAAAAAAAAATCGATGTAATTACTATGCCAAAACATCCCCTTTTTTAATTATCTCAATGGGATGCGAGTCTCAGCGCTGCAAGTCAGCATCCTCAGTGAAAAGACACTATTCCTTACACTATTCAATTTATCCTAGATGATCTTGTTCTTGTTGTAGTCTCAGACAAGTAATCTGCAAACATTAATGCTTTTACGAGTCACCTCTTTCAGAACCCCACTTAAATGGATTCATGATTAAACAACACCATTTCTAGACAAGCAATCTTAAGATTATTCTTATATAATGAGCAAAAGATCTCACCTTGAGCTTCTCATCTCCAAGAAATGACTTCAAGCTCTGGAAAAGGAGAATTACACAGAGTAATTTTAAAAAACAAGTTAACAAGTAACTGGCAGCTAGTATTTTAAGGAAAAAAGAAACAGATCTAATACTGAGCTCAAGTGTTTCAAATCTCCATCTCAAACTGTACCTGGGTGCCGATAAGCTTCCCATCTTTGTGAGCAACAAGCCCATTTTCAGAAAATACATAATCATAGTCGTTCATAACTGCAGAGCCAAGAATACAACAATTACTAACTCCCCTTAAACTCCAGAAAAATAGCTTTAAAACCTTAGTAAGCTCAAACCTGTATTTCCAAGCTGCTCTGATATCTTAGAGAGATCAGATCCCTGATATCTTAGAGAGATCTGATCCACTCACCACTCCTATAGTAACAACCTGCATTTACCAATACTCTTTAACTCTCCATACCTGTTCGAGGGGCAAAGACTCCTAAAAAAAGAATAACCCGTTTTTTAGTGCTAAAAATAAATATAATTAATACCTTTCGGAGTTCCTTGATGAACTCTAACATACTTGGGGTGGCTGCCTGGAATTTGAATGGAAGAAAAGTCAATTTCAATGGGTGAACTAATTTCATATTTATTATTATTTTACGCTGACAATTTCTTTTTTAAGAAATTAATACCTTCCTTGGAGCAGTGAGAGTGTCATCAAGATCAAATAGAGCAATTAAACCAGGTTTTCTCACGGCCATTAAAGTCTCTGCAAATTATCCTGTCATCCAATTCACAAAGAGAAGAAAGTTCACAACTTGAAAAATCAAATAAAAAGGTACGCTTGGAAGCATGTAATGCAAGTAGAGACTCGAATTAAAGAATGGAGGCTGCAACCAAACACAGAACGAGAGAGAGAGGGAGAGAGGGAGTAGAGTACCTCCAGCGAAACGAAGTAAAAAGAGAGAGGAGTCAAAAGTGCGAGGGGTGGAATTTATAGCAGATGCATAGTGGTGCCAAAAATGAGTTTTGACTGATTTTAATTGCATGATGACAAAGGTTCTGAAAAATAGCTTTCATATAAGAAATAAATTTGATAAATTAAGAACCTTGGTTAAATAATATTTTTATTTCTTCTTGACTTAAATTTAAAATTTGAATAATATATCAATTAATGAATAAATATAATTACTGATTTTCTAGACTTTATTGCTGAGCAACCCGTGATGTAAGCTTCTGTTTAATATTATAGTTTAGCAGTATTTTTTATTTTTTTATTTTTAAATTAATGTTTTTATATAATTTTAATATGTTATAAAAATAAATTCTTTCATGTTCAGTAAACCAGCCCGGTGATGGCCTGACGAATTAGGTGTATGGACTGTATGATGTTCTGTTCACAAAATAAAAATTTGACTTTTACTACTTATCTTACACAATTCCATGTTCATCCATGGTGAGAGAGGACTCCTCAGCTAAACAATCAGCCAGCAGCAGAAGAACATAAATTTAAAAAACAAACTTAGTCTCCATTGATATTTAAACTAACCTAAGAATACTACCGTTAGGATAAAAAAGGAGTTGACATTAACAAGTGAACTTTTAAAATTACATGGCAATGAAATATGGCCAGACTCAGCTGCTTCCAAAACCCGAGTCACAAATCAAATAGATTAACTCGGTCACCTCCTAAATATTTGTTTTTAAAACCCAACTTAGGTCAAGATTATCGGGTTGACCTGTTGAGCTAACAGGGTTTAATAACTGTGCTCCGACCCCGTCCCCCTCCCCATCTGCAGACATTCTTGAAGCTTGCCAGAGCGCATTAGAGTACAAATGCTTCTGATGATCTCTGCGTTGTTTACTTACACAGATTTCCAGCAGACGTCATGCTTTTGACTTCTGCTATAGCTTTAGCAAATTATATCGATATGAACAAGAAAAACCATTAATTTCCTTCCAGTTTTTTGAAGAATCTTTGTCCTTTGACCTAGTAATTGTACGAAGTCATTATTAATGTTTCGGCAATCAGTGGTAGCATGATCTTTACAAAGTTTATTGAGTCTTCCATGGCCAGCCTTGTTCTATACTGATTGAATTACATCAAATTTGAACATGAAATTTAAGGAGGATACTTTTCTGAATGATAAAACAACAAATACAAAATAAACCTACTTAAGTATACAAGGGAAGAAAGAAAGAAAACTGTATGATTGCCTGAAGTTTTTTTTTTTGGGGGCA